TTCACACTTAAAAGTGTTTGGTTGTATTTCTTATGTACACATAGATTCTGCTGAAAGAAGTATACTTGATGCCAAGTCCAACAAATGCGTCTTTGTTGGTTATGGTGGTGATGAGTTCGGTTACCGGTTTTGGGACTATGAAAATTGGAAGATCATCAGAAGCAGAGATGTCATTTTCAATGAGAATGTGATGTACAAAGACATGTCAACCATGGAATCAAGTAGCTCCAACACCGAAGTTGAAACAAAGGAATTTGTTGAGTTTGAGAAGATTTCTGGAAATGATGTTCAGATCACTCCTGAAGTAGTTCAAGAAGAACCAGTCACACCAGAACTGAGACGCTCCTCCAGAATTCCTAAACCAACCCAAAGGTATTCTCATTCTTTGCACTACTTGTTGCTGACTGACAATGGTGAACCAGAGTGCTATGATGAAGCAATACAAGTGGAGGATTCAGTCAAGTGGGAGTCTTCCATGAAAGATGAGATGGACTCGCTTATGTCAAATCAGACGTGGGAATTAGTTGAATTACCATTAGGCAAGAAAGCACTCCATAACAAGTGGATTTACAGGATCAAAGCAGAGCACGATGGGAGCAAATGCTACAAAGCAAGATTGGTTGTCAAAGGCTTTCAGCAAAAAGAAGGTATTGACTACAATGAAATTTTCTCTCCAGTCGTGAAGCTATCTACAATTAGACTGGTGTTGAAAATTATAGTTGCAGAGAATTTACATCTTGAGCAGTTAGATGTGAAGACGACTTTCCTTCATGGTGATTTGGAAGAAGAAATCTATATGAGGTAGCCAGAAGGCTTCATAGAGGCAGGCAAGAAAAATCTGGTATGCAGTTTGAAGAAGAGCTTGTATGGTTTAAAACAAGCTCCTAGATAGTGGTACAAGAAGTTTGATAGCTTTATAGGTAGCAATGGTTTTACCAGATGCCAAGCAGATCATTGTTGCTACATCAAGAGGTTCGATAATAGCTTCATTATTTTATTGTTGTACGTTGATGACATGCTCGTTGCAGGCTCAGACATGCAAGAGATTATAAACTTGAAGAAAAAATTGTCGAAGCAGTTTGCTATGAAGGATCTGGGCGCTGCAAAGCAGATTCTTGGGATGAGGATCAAGAGAGACACAAAGTCCGGGACTTTGATATTATCACAGGCCTTGTACATCAACAAAGTACTCTTCATGTTCAACATGCAAGATGCTAAACCAGTAAGTACACCTTTAGGTGTTCATTTCAGACTCTCCAAAGAACAGTCACCAAAGACGAAGGAAGAACGTGCACACATGGTGAAGGTGTCGTATGCCTCAACAATTGGAAGTTTGATGTATGCCATGGTTTGTACCAGACCAGATATTGCTCAAGCAGTGAGAGCTATTAGCAGGTACATGAATAATCCGGGCAAGGTACACTGAGAAGCAGTCAAATGGATCCTCATATATATGCGGGGTACCACAAACAAATCACTTTGTTTCAAATGTGGAGATACCATACTGACAGGCTATGTAGATGCTGACTTAACCGGAAATGTTGACATCAGAAGGAGCACTACAGGGTATGTCTATACTCTAGAAGGAACCGCAGTGAGTTAGGTTTCTCAACTACAGAGGATAGTTGCTCTCTCCACAACTGAAGCAGAATATGTCGTTGTTACGGAAGCCAGCAAGGAGATGGTTTGGTTCCAAAGTTTCTTGGAAGAGTTAGGCAAGAAACAAGAAAACAATGTCTTGTATTGCGACAATCAAAGTGTTATACATCTAGCAAAGAATCCGTCTTTTTATTCCAGGACGAAGCACATACAATTGCGATATCATTTTATCCGGTCTCTTCTGGAAGATGGGATTTTGAAACTTGAAAAGATCAGTGGAGCTCAAAATCTGGCAGACATGTTGACAAAGACGGTGACCACGGACAAACTGAAGTTATGTTCAAAACAATACTAGAAAAGTTGTTTCATTGATCGAGGTGTAAAGACAGATTAAAATCAGTCTTCAAGTGGGAGATTGTTAAAAGTTCAAAGTTTGGCAACCAACTTTGAAAAAATGATTTTCAAAATTTGGTAAATGTTTTTTTGAAAATGGTTTTCAAAGTTTGGTAAATGTTTCTTTGAAAAATGGTTTTTCAAAGTTTGGTAGATGTATGTTGAAAAATTATAATGGGATAATTATTATTAGTCACTGGACTTTAGGGTATTTATAAGATTAGTCCTTAACCTTCAACTATAAATACTCTAGCTCATTTAGCTTCAAAATCATCCCAAAATCATTTCTTTCTCCCAATACTAGAGAGCTTTCTTGTGAGTAGTGAGTGTTTTGTAAACACCTGTAAATTTTCTCTCTAGTAAAATATCTGCAGCAGTCCGGAGACGTAGGCACAATTGGCTGAACTCTATTATCAATTTCGAGTATTATTTTTTCTGCTTTTATTTCGCATTCTCACTAATCTGGTTATAGGGAAATTACTTGTACTCGGGTTTATTTCCCAACAAAGAAGATTGAAGTCCCTGCAACAATGGCTTACATTAAATTGGTAGGCGCCGGTGCAGACAAAACAGTCATCGAGTGGGATGACACGGCTGACAAGATGGGACAGTCAGGCCATTCACTTGGCACCTATGGTTCTGCAATATTCGCCATTAATTCTCCATATTTCATTGCAAAGAACATCACCTTCAAGGTCAGCCATTGTTGTTTTTTTTATATATTACAATCTCCTAACTTTCCTATAATGTTATCACCAATGTTGTTCGGTAGAACAAAGCACCATTACCGCTATCAGGAGCATTAGGAAAGTAAGCGGTGGCGCTGAGGATATCGATCGATGCAGCCGCCTTTATCGGTTGCAAGTTCATTGGAGCGCAAGATACCCTATATGATCACATTGGTCGACACTACTTCAAAGACTGCTACAGCCAAAGTTCGATAGATTTCATATTTGGAAACGGGAGTTCCCTCTACAAGGACTCCCATTTACATGCAGTTACCAACAACTATGAGGCCTTGACAACACAGAAAAGGGAGAGCTTCCTTGAGGAAACAGGCTTCTCTTTCGTTAACCGTAAGGTTACCAGGTCGGGTGAACTCTACTTGGGTCGGACTTGGGGCATTTTCTCTAGGGTAGTGTTTGTTTATACTTACATAATGCATCTACACAATCTATTAAATTAAGGATAAATTACACAAATTGTCACTGTTGTTTAAATAAGTTTTCATTTTTTACTAAAGTTTTAAAAATAATAAATTTGTGATTAATTTTATCGATTTATAATAAAATGATCAGTAATATTATCAGTTTGTAATAAAGGTATCACTCTACCGTCATTCACGTTAAATTGATGATATGATAATATTAATAAAAATGTTAATATTTAGTTTTACCCTTAAACTACTACTAAAACAATAAATAAGTCATTAAAGAATGATTTTATATCTAATTTACTCTAAGTAGATGAACGATGTGACAATTTATATAATTTACCCTTAAATTAATCAATAGAATTATTAAGAGAATGTAGGATGATTGATAAATTTAAACTAAACCATACATGATGAGATGACTCATAACAATAATAATGAGCTAAGTGCATAACAGGCTTTTGAACAACGATTTTAAACTGATTTATAAATTTTAAATTATTTTATAATGAACTTTAAATTATACTCTTATTCTAGATTGATCTTTAAATTTTAAATCTTCTACATAAATCTTAAAATTATTAACATCATTACTGGGTTTTTAAGGTAAAAGGAATTGAATTCATGATATCTTACACAAAATTTATAGACAAAAGGCATTAGAGGTTTTGTATTTTTTAAAAAATCAATGTGGTCCTAGTATTATTTTCTCTCTCAATGTGGCCCTCTAACTCAGCAAATAAACTCAATGTAGCACTTTGACCAATATTTTTTCATCGTTAACCGTTACGGTATTGATGTTGTAGTTCATGGTGCTGACATGGCAATCTAGGATAACAGATTAACGTGAAGGATTACATGACAGATTGGCTAAATAACTTAAACATAACAGATAGACTGTCACATCAGCACTGTGGACCGTCATGTCAGCACAGTGAACTGGCACGCTAGTATTATAATGGCTAATCACGAAAAAGTTGGTCAAATTATTACATTAGATTTATTTTTTGAGTTTAAGGATCATATTGAGAGAAAAAATAATGATTCACACATTTGTTTTTTTTTTCAAAAGTACAAAGACTTTTAATGCCTTTTTGCCAATTTTTTTTTTTCAAGATATTAAGAATTGAAACTATGACCTGAAAATTTAATATATTTTTAAAATTATAAGAAATTTTTTAGAAGTGTACGAATTCAATTCTTAAAATTTTTAAAAAAAATAATTTTTAACTAATGAAATAACACGTTAACGGATAAAATATATTAATATTAACAGTTTGAGAGCTGACATAAATATTTAAATTTAGATACTAATTTAGAATAATCATAGTTTAAGAATTAATATAAAATATTTTAAAATTTAAAAAGAAAATTAAAATAAATTATTTTAAAATTTAAAGTAAACAAAAAATATATAATTTTTATAAAAAAATTAACCAACAAAACCAAATATAAATCAACTTAAAAATAAACAATGAGATCCTTTGCGGAAACAGTTGACTGTCGGAAAAACATAAAACAAGCAGATCCTTTGTGGTGTTGAAAGGTCAAAAGATTTGGTGTCCTTGAAATTGACGGTGAAGAATCAACCGCGAAAGGTCTCCCTCCGTTTCCCGAGACAGTAGCTGCCAATGCCAATTCCATTTCCCCGTTTTAGCAAGCAATGCCCACCCATTAGTATAATCCCCATTCTCATCTTCTTTCTCAAACTCTGCAGCAGCAGCAGGTACTTGTTTTCCCTCTTCGAGTTTCATGTCATTCATCAAACCAAATATTCTTATAACTAACCCATCTTTCCCTTTTCTTCTTAAAGCTTTCGCTTCTTGCGAATTCAATTCGCATATTTTGTTTGAATCCAATTTCCAATTCAATGGCCGCGTTGGCTGCTTGTAAACGCTTGAGTAAAACCGGAACCAATTCGTGGATGACTAGCGGAGTTAGAAGATTTAAGGGAGGGGTTCCCCCTCTCGATACGTCAATGTTTCTTCCCTCGGCAATTCGATTCTCAACTTCTCCTTCTCCATTCTCACAATGCAGACATGTTTCTCAGCAGCTAGTGAAATCAAATGGAAAGAGACTGTTTCTCGTAGACACGTTAGCTTTGGTAACTTCAAATTTTGTTTTTTGGGTTTTTTATTTCGATTCGTTTCCACTATTGAGAAAATGAAAGTGTGGATTATACTTAGGTTAGGAGATTCGAGGCGGAAGGTCTGCCTTCGAAGCAAGCTGAGGCCATAACAACTGCCATAACTGAAGTTTTGAATGGCAGCTTGGAAAATCTCTCTCTTTCGGTTGTTTCCAGGACTGACATGCAAAAAGTAAGTGCTTTTTAGTTGCTTTTCCAAAATTTTATTCCTATTTCCCTGTATTAACTCGCAAAAGGGTGTCCTTTGGTAGAGTAATATGATTCAAGAATCCAATCTTTCGAAGCTGAAATCAGAAGTTCAAAGTTCTCAGGTATTTACTAATTCAGGCAATTCTTTGCATTCAACATTGATTATTGTAATTGGAATTTGCAAACTAATTAATTTTACTGTATGTATGTGTCTGTGCGTTTGTATTAATTGAATCCCTTTTGAGTTGTTTCTTATTGGTGGTGGAAGCTGCATTATTGGCACCTTGCAAATTGCTATAGATAGTGTTAACATTGTTTACGCTCCTCTTCTTGAAGTAATAAATCGCTTTGAGACTACAAATTTTGTTTTGGGCTAATAACATATGATTGCTTGAATTTGAGAAACAGTATACATTGATGGTATATGATCTTAGCATTGCTAGAAACATTATATGCATTTTGATGGTATATGATCTTAACAATTGGGACTCCAAATCGCTCCCTGCAATTTCGAATGTGAAACATCTGTCATGATGCAGACCAAGGATTGGATCTGAGTTGATACCTCTTTGTATGTTCAAATGGGTTATTTTTCTAAACACTAAGTTATGCAGGAGCACCATTATTCATTGCTGCAACACGAGAATGAGAAGCTTCGGCATGACATAGAGAAGATGCGCAGTGAACTAAGGTCTTGCTTTTGAGTCTAACATCCATCCCCGTTTGCCTATTACAATCTGAATACCTACATTTTCTATTATGTTGATGCACTGATAAGGATATTGATTGTTATACAGACATGAAATTGACAAAGTCACAGCGGAGCATCGACTGGATTTGAATCTTGAAAGAGGGTACGAAAAAGATGAAATATCTTGTTTTAGCGCCATCCATTTATGTTCTCATTAAATCCACCAAAACCAGTGTATAAATGTGTGTGGTTTCAAACAACTGCAGGAGAATAAGGGATGAGCTTACAAATCAGAGTGCTGTAACATCTAACCTCACTAACACACTTGACCGGGTTAGTGTTTTTAAGTGAACAAGAAACGGCTTGCTTTGGTTGATAGAATTCATGACATTTGTTGTTTTTCCATATCCTATTGTAAAACTTGTTCAGGAAATTCATACATTAAAGGCTCATCTGGAAGGTGCAAAATATGACTTGATAAAATACTGCATAGGTACACTCGTTTCCATATCCACGGTCGGTCTTGCCATGGTCCGTATACTAATGCAGTGACAGAATAACTCAGTTTTGGTGAAGCTATTCTTCATTTGTGACACTTAGGATTTTAGTTCGGTTGATTGGAATGGTTGAGGGTCGAGGCAGAGACATCGAGTTCGAGCCTTATAGCTCTGCTTTTGTATAAAAGAAAAGCAGCAACAATCATACTGAGTTGTTCTTTGTTCAAGATTTTGAAAAGAAATAAAAGATAAGTCCATTGTCCATTGAGGACTGTGATTTGATTTTTTTTCATAATAAAACTTAAATTCTTATATTATATGAAGGAATAAAAATTAATTAATTTTTTTATCATATCATTATTCATATATAAATTATTACGTCAACATAATCACTTATTAATGTAATAATTAATGATGATTTTTAACGATTGCAAAAAAAATATTAATATAGTTTTAGAGTTTAAAACAATATTGATGTAATTATAAATGATAATCGACATTAATAATTTTAATGAAGTGTACCCTTTAGCTCCTCTTATATTGTATGTATGTATAAAGCATAAGATTAGGTTGAAGTGAGAATTTTTCTTGACATGGTAGCAATGATGAGATGAAATTGGTATGGTGTGAATGCAAATAGTATGCCTTTGGGGGCCTTATCTATATGCATTGCACTTCCACATCCTCAATAATACAATTAAAATAGGAATGCCCTCTTCAAGTCCAACCCTCTCTCTGAACCGCACATGGCCACCACTAGTTGTACCCAAATTTCATTCGTCAAGCAAAAGGAACTATATTCCTCAACTACTACCTCACACGACGGCCTATGTTTAGGGCATCGCTCAAGCTAGCTCCACTATACTTCATATGGACATACACCACCAAGTTAAGTGGTAGATTAATAATAAAAAAAAAAGTAATTTGGATTATATCATTTGCATGCCTGCAGGCTGCAAGCGTATGATTATTTTAAACGCGTCACGTCGATGATTCCATGTTAATGCCCCAAAAGCAATTAAATAGTGTTTCAAAAGATTAAGAATTGTTGGAATGTTTAAGCAGGGCTTAGCATGCTTGGTCAGTGTCTCTCAGTTTTTTCTTCTTAAAATAAGAATAAGAGAGCAGTGTATGGATGAAGGGTGCATTAGGCAGTGAGCGCGGGGACATATTGTGACACAAGGGATATAGGTTTTGCAGCTTTTTGAAAGGTGCTGTTTGGTACTGGTTGCTTTGAGGTTGTTCATATGTTTCAAGTTGTTGTTTTGGTTGATTACTATTGAAGAATGGAAGAGTATATAAAGGGGATTGGAGAGGAGGGATTGTTGAGATAGGAAATGGGAGTAAGAAGAGCAGTCAGGGTTTTGGTTGTAGAGGCGGTGGTGATGATCAGCTGTGTTGGGTTGATGGGATGCGTGGATTTGAGAGAAAGAATGGATTGTCCAATGCTAATTCCAGCACTATGGCTTCTAGTGAGAATCATGGTGTTATTAAGAATGTACAGGACAAAACCATGAATTCTTCTCAAGAAATTTTAGTCCAAACCAATAGTAATATTATTCATAATGGCGGGGAAAGGGGGGAGACGATGGGCGGTGGCAATAGCAATGCAACAGGGAAAGGTAAATGTTAGGTATGACTCATAAATATACCGGTAAAGAGGACAGAGAATGGAGCGAAGTGAGCGAACATCATCTGTCCTTACAAAGAAAGTCTCGTAGTGGAGGTTACGATTATATGGGTTGGGGGTGCGGGGGCTGTGGTACGGTACAAGATTTTTTTTTTTGTAAATTTATACCAGGGGAGATGTAACCAAAACCTATGAGATATTGAATAAAAATTCTAGCGCCGCCTAGGGTATCGAGGACGTAAGCACATTGCTAAACCTAGTTAAAATTCTTGTGTTCTTTCATTTTCTTTACCCGATTATTCAACAATTGGTATCAGATGTCAGGATCCAAATTCGAAGTTGCAAAATTCGATGGTCATGGTAACTTCGGATTATTGCAAACAAGGGTGAAGGATCTGTTGGCGCAGCAAGGGATCCTGAAGGCTTTGCGACTTACAAAGTCGGTGTCGATGGAGGAGGAAGATTGGGAAGAATTGCAGCAGCGAGCGGCAGGAACCATACGATTATGTTTGGCGGACGAGGTCATGTATCACGTCATGCATCTGTCGTCTCCAGATGAAATTTGAAAAGTCAGTTTATGTCCAAATCTTTAACGACTAAACTTTATCTAAAACAGCGGTTGTATGGGCTGAAGATGCAGGATGATCATGATTTGGTGCAACACGTGAATGTCTTCAATCAAATTGTTTCTAATTTGGCTCGGCTTCATGCGAAAATTGAGGATGAAGACAAAGCGATGATCATGTTGTGTTCGTTGCCTCCCTCTTACGAACACATGGTGACTACTCTTGCATATGGGAAAGAGACTATCCAAGTTGAAGAGATTACTGCAGCCTTATTGGCTTACAACCAGCGGAAGAAGAATGTAGGGGAAAGCTCTCAAGTTGATAGCTTATATATCAAGGGTAATCGAGACCATGGACGGAAGCCAGAGAAGGCAGGGTCTGGGAAGCGAAATTTCAGATCCAAATCTAGGGATAAGAAGACAATTCATTATTACAAGTGCAAGGAGGCGGGACATATGAAGCGAGACTGTCCGAAGTTGAAAAAACAGGCTGATGAGAAGCGTGATGACTTATCTAAGTCTGTGAATGTGGTCGATGATGACAATTCTGATTGCAGTGAGGGTGTTATGCTCTTTATTTCAACGACTCAATTGGCAGATGCTTGGATTCTTGATTCTGGATGTTCTTATCACATCACGCCAAATAGGGAATGGTTTTCGACATACATGTTGGTTAATTCAGGTTCTGTTTATTTGGGTAATGGTCGATGTTGCAATATTGTTTGTATTGGTGATGTCAGAATTAAGATGTATGATGGTTCTGTTCGGACGTTGTGTGGTGTTCGACATATCCCAGATTTGAAAAATAATTTGATTTCTTTGGGCACTTTGCACAAGAATGGTTTTATCCCTAAGGCTGATGAGGATAGAGAAACCATTCGGATTATTAAATGAGCTTTGACTGTGATGAAAGGAAAGATGACTGCAGAGAATATTTACAGATTGTTAGGGAGTACCGTTATAGGTGGAGTTCATTCTATTGAGTCCTGTGATGACACTACCAAACTATGACATATGTGTCTTGCTCATCTTAATGAACGTGGTATGGCTGAATTACATAAAAGAAATCTGTTGCATGGTGTTAAAAGATGTAAGCTCGATTTTTGCAAGCATTGTGTTCTTGGTAAACAGAATAAAGTTCGTTTCAAGACCAGGAAGCACACAACTGAATGTATTCTTGATTATGTGCATTCTGATGTATGGGGGGCCTTCCACGACATCGTCTTTGGTTGAATCTAGGTATTATGCTACTTTTATAGACGATTTTTCACGAAAAGTTTGGGTGTATTTTTTGAAACAGAAGTCTGACGATTTTGAGAAGTTCAAGCTGTGAAAAACTGAGGTAGAAAACCAAATAGGACGAAAAATAAAGTGTTTGCGGTCTGAAAATGGTACGAAGTACACATATTCACAGTTTATAAACTTCTGTAAGGAGCGTAGGATTAAGAGGCATTTTATAGTGCGTAAGACACCACAACAGAATGGTGTTGCGGAACGGATGAAAAGGTCGTTTAATAAAAGAGCCAGATGTTTGCGGTTGAATGAGGGCTTCCCAAACACTTATGGGTTGAGGCTGTTAACATAGCGTGTTATCTTATCAATAGATCGCCAAGGGCATCATTGGCTGGGAAAGTTGCAGAAGAGGTATGAATTGGTCATGATGTTACTTTTGATCACTTACGAATTTTTGGTTGTCCTGCTTATGTGCATGTACCTGCTGATGAGAGATCCAAACTTGATGTAAAATCGAAGGAGTGCATTTTTTTGGGTTACAAGAAAGGTGTCAAAGGATTCAAGTTATGGGATCCAGTTGTGAAGAAAATTGTGATCAGTAGAGATGTTGTTTTTGATGAACAACCCATGTTGCAGCAGAAGAAAAACACGACAGTGGTGGATTTCAAGCAGTTTCCAGTTGAGAAAACAAAAACTTCTCAACCGACTTCTAGTGGTTACGCTACGGATGATTTGCAGGATTATAGTCTTTCCAGAGACAGGGTGAGACGGACGAATATAAAGCCTCCGAACATATTGGGTTTTGAAGACTTTGTCTCTTTTGTACCTACTGTTAGCACTGATGATCCGGTTACTTTTCATGATGATGTTACTAGTCAGGAAAACGACAAGTGGATGGCTGCCATGGTTGAGGAGATGGAGTCTTTGAATCATAATCGTACATGGGAGTTAGTTCGCTTTCCTGGGGGTAAGAAGCCTATTGGTTGCAAATGGTGTATAAAAAGAAACCAGCAGTAACAGAAAAATAGAGGGAGAAGTTTAAGGCTCGTTTGGTAGCAAAGGGTTTTTCACAGCAGAAATGAGTTGATTATGATGAAATTTTTTCTCCTGTGGTCAGACACACTTCAATCTGAACAGTACTTGCATTGGTGGCTAGTTGGGATTTGCATTTAGAGCAAATGGATGTTAAAACTGCTTTTTTGCATGGTGATTTAGAGGAGCATATCTACATGCAGCAACCTGAGGTTTCACTCAACCTGGAAACGGGCATTTAGTTTACAGATTGAAGAAATCTTTGTACGAGTTGAAATAATCTCCGAGACAATGGTACAAACGGTTTGACTCCTATATGATCAAATTGGCAATGTGAGTATGATTGTTGTATCTATGTTAAGATCCTTGATGATGGTTCTTTTATTTTTCTATTATTGTATGTTGATGATATGTTAATTGTTGCGAAAAACATAGATGATGTTATCAGTTTAAAAACTTTATTGAGTCAGGAATTTGATATGAAAGATTTAGGTGCTGCAAAGAAAATTCTTGGAATGAAAATTTGCAGGGAAAGAGACTCAAGGAAACTGTGGTTATCTCAACGGGGTTATGTTGAGAAAATGCTAGAAAGGTTTGCGATGAGCAGCGCAAAACCAGTGAGCACTCCATTGGCGAATCACTTTAAGCTTTCATCAGAACAGTGCCCTAAGACAGATAAGGAAGCTGAAGATATGGCAAATGTTTCGTATTCTAATGTTGTTGGTTGCTTGATGTATGCAATGATATGTACTCGTCCTGATTTAGCTCATGTTGTTAGTCAAGTTTGTAAGTACATGTCTAAACCTGGTAAGCAACATTGGGAAGCAGTCAAGTGGATCTTTAGGTACTTAAAGAGTACTGTGGGACATTGAATTATTTTTGGTAGTCAGCGGGATAATCCTTTGGTTGTAGGGTATGTGGATTCAGATTATGCGGGTGATTTGAATAATAGAAGATCTACGACAGGGTATATATTTACTCTTGGTGGAGGGCCTATTTGTTGGAAGTCTACTGTTCAATTTGTTGTGACATTATCTACAACTGAAGCTGAATACATGGCAACAGCTGAAGCAGCAAAAGAAGCTTTATGACTTAATGGTTTAATGGAGTTGGGTGTTCAACAAGGTGGAGTTCAGTTGCTTTGTGACAATCAAAGTACTATTCACTTGGCTAAGAATCAGGTATATCGTGCTATTCAGCAAAAGAAGCATATTGATGTAAGGTTTCACAAGATCAGAGAGTTGGTTGCATCTGGAAAGATTTTGTTTCAGAAGGTTCATACTGATGAGAATATCGTTGATATGTTCACCAAGCCAGTTACGATAGACAAGTTCATGCATTGCTTTGGACTTGTTGAATGTTTTCGAGTTGTTAAAGAAGTAAGGTAACCCAACCCACATTAAATGTTTCCTAAGGGGCAGGATATTCGCCAAGGTGGAGATTTGTTAGGTATGACTCATAAATATACCTGTAAAGAGGACAAAGGATGGAGCAGAGTGAGCAAAGCGAACATCATCTGTCCTTACAAAGAAAGTCTCATAGTGTGGGTTATGATTATGTGGGTTAGGGGTGCGGGGGCGCAGGCACTGCGATATGGTACAGGGTTATTTTTGTAAATATATATCAAGGTTTATTTATTATAAAAGGAAATGTAACCAAAACCTATGAGACATTGAATAAAAATTCTATCACCGCCTAGGATACCGAGGACGTAAGCACATTGTTGAACCTCATTAAAATTCTTGTGTTCTTTCGTTTTCTTTACCCGATTATTCAACAGTAAACCACACAAGAAAAGAAAAAGTATGACAATGGAGGTGGAGGGGTGGTGGGAATGGTGGAGGTGGAGGGGTGGTGGGAATGGTGGAGGTGGAGGGGGTGGCGGAGGAAATGGCAAAGGTCACGGAATGAATGGAGGAAATGGAGGTGGTGCAGGAAATGACAGAGGTCAAGGAACGAGTAGAAGAAATGGTGGGGGGAGAAGAGGAGGAGGAGGTGGTGGTGGTGGAGGAGGAAATGGAAGGGAAGGAGACGGTGGCAGTGGCAATGGTGGAGGAGGCGGAGGCGGTGGAGGAAATGGCAAAGGTCAAGGAATGGGTGGTGGTGGTGGTGATGGTGGTGGTGGTGGTGGTGGAGGAGGAGGAGGTTGGGGTTAGGGAGGTGGCAAGCATGGAAGGTGGTGGATTTGGGGATGTGGTGGCCCAAGACAAACAATTGGATGGCAGACTGGGTCTTCCTCACCAAAACCAAACCATGCACGTCAAATGGACAAAAACTTTTAAAAGTTGTTCCTGCATTTTTAAAATCAATGAAACAACCATATCCTTCTCTCCTGCCTAATCTAATGTATGTTCCTAATTTACACACTAAATAAACAAAACATGTCCAATTGTATCCAGTATTCTTGTATGTCGTAAGTTTTGCCTATAATGTATGTATTCATCAGAGAAATGAAAATTCTTCCAAATCCCAATTTGTGTTACTCTCGTCACATTAATATACGGCCTGTTTAGGCCCACGTTGGCCTTGCCCCAAACCGGGCAAATTTAGAGAAGCCATCTCCATACTTTCTAAACAAAGAAACCGCACCGTGTCATATCAGTCAGAGAAGCTTTTGGCCTTATAAGTGGGAGCAGTTTTAAAGTGCTCTGTCAGTATCTCAGTTTCACATCAACCATAGAAGCGGTCATGTTTAGTGCCACAGCCACCAACTCTTCCTTAAATTACTACTACCTTCACTGTCAGAAGACAATTTTGGACATCTAATTTGTGTTTTTGATTAGATTATTTGCTCAAATCCCAAGATCTGTCCGTTGCTCTGTTGGTAATTGTATGGACTTACATGTCTGTAAGAAGCATCCCTGCCGATTCACAATAATAAATACTCTACAGTCAAGTCTTTAGTGGGGAGCTGTATGTAGCCGTTACAAACAGCTTTTCTCGATCATTTGGGTGTAGAAAACAAATATGAGATTCAAATTGACAGTATTCGTGTTTTATATATACTAATCGTGTATCTTCTGAAATCTGATAATTTATGGTAGTTTATGTTATTCAAGTCGAGATGAATATGTGAACATGATAAAGAAGATACGATTTTCAAATCGTTCTCTGAATATATATATATATAGTGCATGGCATTTATCGAAATTCGAATAAATTGTGACTCAAAAGCAAGTAAAATAATCCTTAATATTGGAAAAACCATGTTCCTGCAACTATTACAGTAATTTATCTGTGAAAATAACTATGAATGTCTACAAGGTGGAAGAGGAGTACCACACAAGCCTGGATTACCTCTAAATGCAGATGCAGCGATTATGGCTTTATGGGGAGGAATGTCGCCTCTTAATCGGTTATACGATACATTGAATTCCCTGAGCTCATTCAAATTGATCACCTTCACTGGGATAGAACCGATGAGCATGTTCCTAGAGAGAAAAATTGTGGTCAATTCCGCAGCATCACCGAGCTCCACCGGTATCTTCCCTGAAAGTCCATTATTTACTAGCTTCAAGATTTGCAGCTGACTCAATTTCCCCAAGGATTTTGGTATTGATCCATTAAGTTGATTATGTGACAGAACAAGTGATGTTACAGAATCCATTGCAGGGCTCTGTAGGGCGGAATCATTAATAGGACCAATGAACAAATTGTGGGATAGATCAATAGAATTAAAATGACCTATAGGATCATCTGTTTCTTTGGAGAAAATTGTATCCAGGTTACCAGACAGCTTGTTTGAATGAAGATCAAGATCCATTAGGCGCCTAAGATTCTTTAATTCGGCAGGGAGTGATGAGTGAAGACCATTGTTCGATAAATTGAGAAAAGAAAGGTAGCTCATGTTCCCAATCCATGGCTGTAGTTTCCCTGTCAAAGCATTGCTTGATAAATCTAGAGTGGAAATCAATGTAGAAGATAACCATCTCGGAAGAGTCCCTTTAATCCCGGTTTTCGCTAATACAAGCCGAAAAAGTTTCAATTTAGCAAACCATTTCGGTATGCTATCGATTCCTAGAGGATTAAACGACAGATCCAGCGTCTGCAAGTTCTGCAACTTGATCAGCTGAATTGGAAGTTCACCACAGAGTTTGTTTCTTGACAAATCTAGCGTTTGAAGGTTTCTTAAATTGCCAAAACTCGACGGAATCTTGTCGGTTAAATGGTTGTTCGATAAGTATATTTCAGTAAGAGTGACAAGATTGCCAATCGAAGCTGGTAGTTTCCCTGTAAGCCTGTTGTTCTCAAGGATTAGCCTCTGAATCTTTGGGAGCCCACCAATGGATGATGGTATAGTTCCTGTCAACCTGTTTTCTGATATGCGGCAAAACTGAAGAGCGATGAGCCCGGAAAACGACGAAGGGATGCTTCCTGTAATCTGGTTTTGATTCAGATATAGGAGTACTAATGCTTGAAGTCCTCCTATGGATTTAGGAATGCTGCCTGTTATATGGTTTTCGGATAAGTCAAGATATTTGAGGCTCTTAAGATTGCCTATAGTCGTAGGCAAATTACCAGAAATATTGTTAGCATGAAGATCAAGTTTTGTGAGCAAAACCAACTTCCCTATTGTAGCCGGAATTGATCCACTCAATTGGTTTCCTGAAAGACCAAGTTCGGTGAGTTTTGTTAAGGATCCAATAACAGAGAGAGGTGTAATACCAGAGAAACGATTGTTGCTGAGATAAATCTTTTCCAGTCTTGGTAAGCTCTTGAATGTCACTGGTATCGACCCCGTAAGCTGGTTCGAATCAAGAAAAAGAAGAGTAAGACGCCTTAACTTGCCGAACTCCGACGGTATCGGTCCATTCAAGTTCTTCAGATTGCCAAGATCAAGTACTCGAAGAAAAGACAGGTTCCCAAGGGAGGGAGACAAAGTGCCATTCATGAATGTATCCAGTAAGTCGTCACCGTCCGAAACGAGGCCCGGATGCGTGACGTTGACCACCCTCCCCCTGGCATTGCAAGCGACCCCTTTCCATGACGTACAGCAATCAGATGAAGGTATCCATGATTGTAACAGTCGTGAGGGGTCGGCTGTGATCCCACGCTTGAATCCCAGTAATGATTCTCTGTCCACTGGATTGCATGCCTCACAGGCAAGTGGTGAGAAGGACAGTGACAGAAACAGCGAGAGAAGTAGAGAAAACATATTTTTGTGACCAGAAATCTCCATCAATGGCTTTGTAATAAAAAACCTGTAAGGTCCAAGTTTATATATATCAACGGATATGGAAAACAGCGGAGCCATGTTATTAATGCGGATTTGATGAAGTGATATATCAACGGATATTAGCTCTCCACGCCTTGCATGGAAACTTCCTGCCAATTGCAATACAATATAAGCCCTTCAAATTTCTCGGCCAACCTGGAATATTTGACTTTGACAAAATTTGGATCATAAGCAACACACGAATCAATCTAAATTACTTGTTACGTTTTCAGCCGGCTGATCTATTTCTTTATACTGAAGCTGTGAAACATGACTGACTAAATGAATAGCAGTGGTCAAATTATGGGTCTAATACCTCTACTATGATAAACAATTTATGTACTTTTATTTAGCATGAATGGTGAATAGTGGTGCTGGTGTACCATTTTAAATTGGAGTGGGGCATTAAAGTCCGATAATATTCATAGGCTCCATTCTGATAAGCATTATTGGCCATTACAGAAACTGGTAACTGGTTTTTATGCCCATGTTGATGAATCTCGTGAAGATCGGCAGTTTACAAGGAAGAATAGAGGTATACGCTCTGTTTCCATAGCTGTAGATGTACTTTGGACTGTGCCTTTTAAGGTCATTAACTTCCCTACAGAAATAAGATAGTGTTTGTCCACAGTACATCTCTGATTTCTTGTCAAAAGACATATTATTCTTACAAAAACATAAGCGTGAAACTTCAACTACTCAAATATATTAATAAGTCCTTAATTGGGACAAAAGTTACCTAAAGAAACCGAATAAGGCTGGATGTTATTCGGACCTATCTGATAAGCCTCACAGGACAAGTAGGACCCAAGTTCTATATTGCTCGTGCTCGTATGCCTTACGCCTTATGTGATTCCGTCAGGTATTGTATTATAATGTTTTTAGAGCCCTTTTCCCCATAATTACAAGCGAAGTCAAATTTCGTTTAAAGGATTTCACGTTAACAAACTGAAAACGAACAGCCCCAAACTATGAACAAATAGAACAACATAAAGAAACAATTTTACACAAGAAAGAAACACTCGAATGTTTCAACTGAAAGAAACATGGTTGAATTACATGCAAGCCAAGGTTCAGGGGATTACAGGGCCAAAACTCTCACATTTTATTAAAGGTTTCTGGTCAGCACCTTGGCAAAAAAAGAAACGCAACGGACACCTGATCAAGCAGTTGTCGGCAAGGCTGACATTTGCAGTGTCCGGTTTCATTACCAGCAACGGCCCTGGAATTGGTCCAAACAAGTAGTTCCCTCCGAGCAACAGCCGAGCAAACGGGGCAATTCCGGTTCCCGGCAGAACCGCTTTCAGTGCGTATTGGGCCGGGATCATACCGGAAAGCTTATTGTATTCCAGGGATAAAGCTGAAAGCTTTGGCATTAATGGCAAGAAAGGAGATAACCAGCCTCGGAGCTCGTTATTGCTCAAGTCGACCGCAATGAGCTCACTTTGGATGCCTTGATTAGAGGGAAATTGTAAAGAATCAAAGGAGTTGAATGCGAGAGTGAGTTGCTGGAGAGATGGGTGGTTAAAGAGGTAATAAGGGACTGAGCCGGCGAGTTTGTTGTGACTCAAGTCCAACACTTGCAGAAAGCTCAAATATTTAAGACTTTGAGGAACTGAGCCCTCAATCATGTTGTCTCTCATGGAAATTTGGACTAAAGAAGGTGGCAATGTTGTGGGGAGATACCCAGAGATGGCATTGTTACTTGCATCAAGAAAATACAGGTTTTTGAGTAAACCCAGCTCGGGGAACTCACCAGAGATGTTGTTTGATTGAATTTCTAGTCTTTTCAAGCTAACCAGACCATTGAAACTCGTGGGAATAGAGCCCTGCAGGTTGTTGTTATCGAGGTGCAGTTCTTCAAGGCTAGACAATGACCCAATCGAGGCAGGTATCTCACCGGAGAATGCATTCCTCGAAAGACCGATTCGAGTTAACCGAGTCAGGTTGGAGAGTGAACCCGGAATCCACCCAGAAAAGAAATTGTTGGAGAGGTCAAGGGTTTGTAAGTAAGGCAAATTCCAGGAAGTGGAATAGAGAGAACCGGCATAACCAGCCGAGTCAAGACTAACTTCCGTGACTCGACTCAGCCCAGAAACAATAACTTCGCACCTGAAACCACAGGTGAATCTTTCACTGAAGAGACTGTCGCATGGGTCTACCGTGAAATCCCAAGAACTCAAACAAGAACCAGGACTAACCGAGTTAGGCTCGACTCCATTTTTTAGCTGTTTCAACACTTGCATATCTCCCCAGCAAGTCTTGGATTCTGCTCTTCGTAAAACACAATCAACAACAACCAAAAGAAGAAGAGGAGATACAAAGAACTTCAAAGCACCCATTTTTTTTCTCCAACCAAGGAAAGTGAAAGGTAGTTCAGAATCTAGACGGTAGATGGAGAAGATAAATAGCTTTAGAAACTCATTCAATCAGGACCGTTGATGTGGTTAATAAGGAAAAAAACGAAATTACTAGGGGTATGATTTTAAGGGAAAAAGGAAGCGAAACAAGACAAAGATGGGTACTGGTCCTACTGGAGTACGTTTAAGCAGTCTGGGTAGTGAAGGAAGAATCTTTTAGTGAGTGGATTCACGGGCAATTTGTCAGTGTGTTCTGTTCTGTAATGTCATATTTAAATTTGGATCGTTACATGATTTGGCCAAGAGAGAAAACGAGATGGAAAACGATTTTTCCAGTTCCCTTCTACTCGAATGATTACAAATTGTGACGTCTGGCAGAACTGAGGGTAAACCTCAGGTACAAGTCCCTAGGATATAATTTAGATTGCATTTTAATCTTTAAACTTGAAAAATAATTAAATTAAGTGTATGTTATAGAATGGAGTGTACGAATATTAGCAGTACACCCAATTTATTGAATATTAGTGACATTCATTCATTTATTCATTGCGTAGAAAGGGGGACAATTTAAAACGTGGCACTATAATAAAATAAGACATCATTCTAATTTCTCATGGCATGATCTCAATTATGATCTCACGGATCGAGAAGACTATCGTGAAGAAGATTTGATAGCGAGGTAAAAGTGAGTATATTTTATTTGTATATATATATCGAACAAACATATTATATATGTTTTCGAACAAACATATTATATATGTTTTCAAAGCAGAGAAGATCTTTCGACTAAATGTGTCAACTACCATATTAACCTTACCAAGATGATAATCAATAATCATATCCATCTTTTAGAAGTTTGATCTCTCTCCTTTTTCTTAGATCCAATTCTTTCTGAATAAGCAAATACTTCAAACATTTATAATCTGTTTAAATATAACATCGTTCACCATATAGATAGTGGTGTCATATTTTGAAAGTAAACACCACAATCGTTAACTCTTAATTCTAAGTCGGATAATTCCGTTAATGCATCTTTAGCTATCTCGATGTATAAACTATCACCTTACATTCTTGCATCAAGACAAAACCCAAGTGCAATGCGAAGATGTTCGTCATGCTCCTTTTTACTCTTAGAATAAATCAAAATATCATTTATGAACACGACCACAAAGTAATCTATTTACAACTAGAACATTTGATTCATTAAATCTATAAATACTGTTGGAACATTAATTGGTTCAGATAGCATCACTACAAACTCATAATATCTATATCAGGTTCTAAAAGTCATCTTCAAAATAACCTACTCTTTAATCTTTAACTAGTCATACTCTGATTGAATATCGATCTTCAAAAATTCTGATGTACCTTTGAGTTGATCGAATAGATCCTCGATCCTCGAAAGAGGGTACTTATTTTATACTATCACTTTATTCAGCTGACAGTAATCTATATATAGCCACATTTATTCATTTTTCTTTTACCAAAGAGTATCAGTATACCACATGGAGATACTTTTAATCTAATAAAACTGCGGTCAAATAGCTCTTGTAGTTGTCCCTATAACTATCTGAATTCTGTCGGAACTATCTGATATGTGACCATTAATATTGCACTATACCCGAAAAATATCAATTTTAAACTCCACTTCTTAATCAGGAGGTAATCCAGATAATTCATCAGGGGTTACATCTAGAATTTCCCAAACTATCAGAATATCCTCTAATCTAACTTCAACTCACTACAACATATTTGTCAATTTATGACAAAATTTCTATATGACGTTACATATATCGTCACAAAACATATTATAATGTGATGTTTTTTTAATTTTCGTCATATTTATTGATTAATGGTATATCTTTTATGAAAATTTTAAAAATGGTCATTGATTTTTGTCACTATATGTTTGGCGCCAAAATCTTCCCACCAAATTCTTTGATGGGAAACCTTTTAATGACATTTAGATAAAATAATGACGTTGTAAAATCGTCTCCAATGAAAAATAGGTATTAGTGACGATTTATTATAATGACGATTGAATTTGAATTAGTGGTGTTGCACATTTGTCACTAATAAATTTTATTCGTGACAATTTAATTTGTCATATTTTATAAGACACTAAAAGTGACATTTTATTATTGTCACAAAAATAGTTTTCGCATGACGAAATCAATTATTTGTCATTTGTTTTTATCTCTCTTTTTTATATGACGATTTTAAAAGATGTCAAGAAATTATGTCAGTTAATGTTAAAAAATAAGATAATCTAACAACCTTTTTAAATAATGCAATTTATAGATTTTTTTTGTGTTTTTTTTATTTTATTGACATGATTCTATTTAGATTATCTCACATTCAAAGTTTTTTAGAGTACAACATAAAATAATAAATTGTTAAAATGAAATGAGCAGATGATTTTTTATATATTATTGTACTTCTATGATTTTCATGATGTTACATCAAAGTGTTTAGGAAAAAATAGATATTTATACTTGATCATAGAAATACCCATAAAGTTTTAGTATATTTAGATACATATAACATCAATAATTTTAAAATATAAAATATTACTCTTTT